TTAGGACCATGTGATATTTCAGTTTTTCTTTTTTATTAAATCTGCAAAAATGTCAACAATTCTGTGTTTTTCTGTCAATATGGGGTGCTGTGTGTACATTAATGAGGAAAATTTTTTTACTTAAATGATTTTAGCAAATGGCTACAATATAACAAAGAGTGAAAAATTTAAGGGGGTCTGAATACTTTCCGTACCCACTGTATATATATATATATATATATAAATCATTTAAGTATTCAAATCTTAGATGCTTATTATGATCCTTCTATTAGCTATTGAACCCCACAATATTTAAAATATTAGAAAGCTTAATAATTTTTGTAATTTTCTCCATTGTTGTTTTTAAAAGTATCTTTTTTTTATTCTTTTAAAAAGTACAGTTCAAAAAAATATTTATTTTATATTTTCTTTGTAAATTATGAAACTTAATGTAAAAAAAAAACGTGTCCTGCATTTTTCATGTCACTAACTAGACAGTGTATGTTTTAGTCCATTGGCCGAGACTGATTTGAACTAAACCCATAAATGTATGATCAGGAAATATTCCTGTGTCCCCCTCTCTCATAGCTATAAGGCGTGAGTAGATAGGTCCCATCATTTTGAGGTAAATGTGTTCAAAAGTCTGAAAAGTCTGTGTGTAACTTTAAGGAACGTTACTACCGAACACCTTTTTTCTGCAATTAAGCACACTTTTTTGGGAGTTATTCCATAACATTTAGTTTTTATATGTATACCACTGTTCAGAACTGTGCTAGATAATCATGTGTTGATTAGCATCTTTGAGCTAGGTTCAAAAGTATCTAAAATTGTCACTACAGAAACATTGTTTCGGTAGTGACAAAAGGAAACGCATAATCATATTTTGGGGGAAATAAACAATTTAGTAGAGTTATGCAATTATTTTAGTATGTTTTATTAGTCTTTGTATGTGAGTTAAAATTCTGTAATGTGATGCGGTCGCTACCAAAGCATTACCGTCACTACCGAAAATGTGCTGTCACTACCACTGTCACTATCAAATATAAAGTATGCGGAATTATCAGCTAAGATGTTTTGATAGTTTTTGGTTCAGTATATATTCAAACTAATGAATCCTTAACTTTGAAATCAGTATGATCAACTTTTTGCCTGTCACAAAGAAAAATTCAAATCTCATATATCACACTTGAAATATTGTTAAAAATTTAATTATTGATTCACCTCTGAAAATGTTTTAATAAAATAGCGAAAAAAATTATTTACAATCTAGATGTAATCTTAATAGGTCAATGTAACCCTTCTAATTAAATGATTATTACTGTGTTTCAAATATTCCAAAACTTGACACATTTTTTTTTTATGTTTCCAACTCGGATTTTGGATAAATTTCTGTAGATTATATATATAATCTTCCTTGCTTTTAATTTAATTTTTATTTTCTGCACAGTTTGTTGATATGTGAAGGGTGTTTTTTGATTTCGACTTTTTTGTGATTAATTTCCCCCCTCGTTTCTTTTTTCCCCTCAATGTATATACGGGGCGTTTTCAAGATGACCACAGACTGTATAAAAACAGGTGCGAACATGCAAAATAAGACCCGCACGCGCATGTCACCTAGCGCCTCTCTCTCCCTCTCTCTCTCTCCCCCTCCTCTCCCCCTTGTGTTTTTCTGTCAATATGATTGACCACAGACTGTATAAAAACAGGTGCGGACATGCAAAATAAGACCCGCACGCGCATGTCACCTAGCGTCTCTCTCTCTCTCTCTCTCTCTCTCTCTCTCTCTCTCTCTCTCTCTCTCTCTCTCTCTTAGCCGTTCGTATGCGGATTCAGTTTGAAGAGAAGGTTTTACTTCATCTCGCGAGTTATTGTTTGCTAGCCTGATGCGCAGGTTACGGCGCTACGTATGTACTGTGTTTCAGAGCTAAAGCATACGACGTTACCGCAACATGCATTAACGTTACAATGCAAGCATTTCGCTTTAACACATGCGGCTCATTCACATTCATCTCCCTAAGTAGGGTACCGCCTAGAAATGTGACTTGGGTCCCAGTCTGCCCTGCTAACGAATAACATTTTGTGATTGTTCCCAGCCCTGAATATACATAACCTTAAAATAATAATAATAATAATTAGAAAACAAAAACGCGTTCTCTCAGACTCTGTTCTTAGCTAGATGCTATTAATAGTGATTGGTTCTCGAGCGTTTGCCTGCGCAGTGCTCACCCGTGATTGGTCAGTTGGTGTGCTGCACCGCGCGAGACTGCTGCGCACACAATAATGGGCTCTAAAAGGTCGTTGTCTGACACAAAAGAGCTCGCGGATTTAGCGGCAAAACACGCCAGGATCATTGAATCAGGTATGCAGAAGAGCACCTGCTATTACAAAGACACCTCGAGCCCCTTCAATGCACACGATATTGCATTGACCTCGAATAGAACAAGATCGCGCTGGTGTTATAGCGACTACTTTTGGTTGGGTTTTATAGAATTGTAATCATATTTATCATTATGTAAATATAAATAATATATTTGATTTAGAACATGCGTTCTGATTGCGTCAGATATTTTTGCGACTTATGCAGACAGGTGGCGAGCACTAAGAGGTTTATTGCTTTGGTATTAATAATAGGGCATATGCTGTTTTCATAATGTGTAACGTACCATATTATAATATATATGTTAGACGTTTTATTGGGGATTATGTACAGTCAGTCAAAATAAACTTTGTATCACTGAATGGGTTTTAAGCGAAAGTGTCTCGCTTATTACTCGAATATTATATATGTGACCCTGGACCATAAAACCAGTCATAAGTAACACTGGTATATTTGTAGCAAATGCACTGCATGGGTTTTCTTTTATGCCGAAAATCATTAGGATATTAAGTAAAGATCATGTTCCATGAAAATATTTTGTAAATATATCAAAACTTAATTTTTGATTAGTAATATGCATTGCTAAGAACTTCATTTGGACAACTTTAAAGGCGATTTTATCAACATTTAGATTTTTTTTTTTTTTTTTGCACCCTCAGATTCCAGAAAATGCCGTGACTGACAATCAGAATGAACTGTGTAATAAATTAGAAAACCACGGATACTAAATTCTACAAATCAAATGTGTTTTTATGTGATATGTGTAATAAATTAGAATACCACACATAACCTTGTACCAATCAGATCCGTTTTTTTTATTTCTGTGTAATAAAGTTCTTCTGTACACAAACAAGCAATGTCTTTGAGAGTCAGCCAAGAGGACAGTTTAATCTCAGACATTGATTGCAGGATGGACCGGCACTAACGAGCGCACGTTCATCGCAGTGAAGCCAGACGGAGTTCAGCGCAGGCTGCTCGGTGAAATCATCCGCCGCTTCGAGCGCAAGGGTTTCAAACTGGTCGGCATGAAGCTCCTGCAGGTGAGAGCACTGCAGCATCTTTCACATTATGTTCACTTGGAGAATATATCATCGGCATTAATGTATTCATTTACGCCTGTAGGCATCAGAGGAGGAACTCAGACAGCACTACGGGGACCTGAGGGAGAAGCCTTTCTACAGCGGCTTGGTCAAATACATGAGCTCTGGACCCATTGTTGCAATGGTAAGGAGCACAGAGCCTCCAAAATATGAGTTCTGCATTTATGCTGCTATGATTTTTGCATCTTAAGACTTGTAATGGCATGTCATACTTATGTGTGTCTATCTGTATGTTTTTAATCAAGGTATGGCAAGGGCTGGATGTGGTAAAGACTGCCAGAAAGATGCTTGGAGAGACAAACCCAGCAGACTCTCTCCCAGGCACTATCAGGGGAGACTATTGTGTTGAAGTGGGCAGGTTAGTTTGTGTGTTTTAAACAGATAGATAGATAGATTGTTAAAAGTTGTAAATTAAAAAAAAAAGTTGATTGAAGAAAATACTAGTTCAGTGTTTCAATGTTTTTTGTAATTATTTGTGAAATTATTAGCAGTAGTAAGTTGTTTCAAAGTAAATATTTCCTCATGGTATATAGATTTGAAGTATTATTCATTGACACGACTGTGCTGCATGAATTTATCTACAGTATAACTGTATTTACATGAACGCTTGTTAAATAGTTTTTTCCCCCCATGTTGTGCAGGAATGTGATTCATGGCAGTGATTCAGTTGAAAGTGCTCAGAGAGAGATTTCACTGTGGTTCAAGCATCACGAGTTGTTCTGCTGGGAAGAGTGCATTGAGCCCTGGATCTATGCTTGAAACCCATCATATAACACTCACGCAGTCTTCATTCAATACAGCTTCATCTGCTCCTTACAGAGAAAACTGCTTAAGCCATAAAGTGACCAAAACAATAAAAAAGGAAAAGCTAGCTAGGTATGTTGACAGAGTAACCTGCATCTGTTTGGATTCCCTGAAATCCAGTTATTGGTCAAGCTATCTGGAATGTAATGGTTTTCTTACTGCTTTCTTTGCAAATATTTAATCTTCAGATATTCACTTCATTACTAATCTTTAGTAGGTTGGTAAGTCATGCACTACTCGTGAGATTTTATTTGAGGTGTTTACATCCACTTGAAAGATGTTGTTTACATTTTTACCTCCAACTTTTGATATGAAAATGCTTCTGGTCATCTTGATGCACTCTGTAAAATACATGTATTAATCATGACTCAAAAGGAAAGCAATAATGAATGATAAAGAGCCAGCATGCTCTGAAAAAAACTGACTTGAATATCCCAGCAATGCTTTGTCGTACTCTAGTGCTTGGAACTCAGCTGACCAAAGGGCGCCTTACTTTACAAATAAATTATTCCTTTGTTCATTTGTCTTTGTATGCATTATTTTGTGTAAACTATACAAAAGTTTGGGTTTGCTAAGATTTTTAAATGTTAGAAAAAAGTATGTCTCATGCGTATCAAGGCTGCATTTAATTGATCAAATAGTCAAATTAGTAACATCTTAAAATCTTTTAATATATTATAGAAATAAATTTATTCCAGTGATTTCAAAGCTGAAATCAGCAGTCATGATCCTTCAGAAATCATTCTAATATGTTGATTTAATGTGAAAATCGTTTTTTTTTAGATAAAGTTCAAAAGAGGTTTATTTGAAATAGAAATCTGTTCTAGCATTACTAGTGTATTTGAGTTTAGCTCAATATTGATCAATGCATATTTGAATAAAGCTATTATTTTCCTTTAAAGAAAAATAAAAAGTGTATTTTCCACTAAAATATTTTTAAAATGTGTATAAAGTATTGCTCTACCTACTAATTCAAAGAAAATACTATGAAGACTTGCATTTCAACAAATTAAGGCACTGAAGGCAGAAGTATTCAGCACATAAACATGTTTATTTCTTAATACTTAACCACACAGAGAACACAGAGTGATGATTTACATACAATGCGAATGGGACATCCATCTCTTTCAAACCTCGTCCAATCGAAGGCTTGGGTTTAGCTGTTAACCTCATTCTTAATCCCAGAGGGAAGCTAGCAGAGCTAGTCAGCACACATCTCACTGAGAATGGAAAACGGATAGCTGCAAATGGTTGAAGGGATTTTGAGCTGTTTAAATCAGTTTTGTTAAATATTCTTTTACATATGTACTTAATGAATTGAAATAGCATTGGGACATGTTTGGGTTGTGTTAGATTGCCAACAAATCATCAAATATTCACTCTTATTTCTCTCTCTGCAGTCCATGCTGCAATCCAGTATTTACATATCGAGGTCTCTTTTGCGTTTTCCCTCTTGTATTCCATTACACATCTAGAAAAATTATCCCTCTCATCTCTGAAGTCACTTGAGTTCATGGCAAACTCCTGTCGTTCAGTGAGCTGTGTGCTGACGGACTGTAAATATAAAGGTCAGGGTATTTGGCAAAAACTGGGTAGTTCTTTCAGGAACGTAGTTTGGTACTTGTTTAAGCTGTTTATATTTCATCTGAAATTGCCATTCAGTCATAAGATGCAGGAGGTTCTTGAACTTTGTGTGTTTTTTGTTGGGAAAGGAAGGTTACAAGGTAGATTGAAGGATCGTACAGCTAGTTATAATTGAGGGTAGGAAAGTACAGGCAAACTGGATCAATATAAGACTTTAAAGGGGTAGTTACAAGGCCGTGGTAGTTACATAGCTTAGGTACATTATTCGGGGCATAGTTACAGAAAGGATTCATACTTCATCTTTGGGGGCGGACTTATAGGGCGGAAAGGGGGGCAGGCAGGAGGTGTCAGTTCATGTCACTCCGGACCATAAGACACCTGCCACACGATGATATGACTCCTCTCTGCTTTAGACAACGCTGGCTTCATCTGAGGAGCTTCACCATCTGCTTCCTCTGTCTCATCTTCACCGTCACCTGAGAAAGATAATGAGGAAATGCTATTAATGGTTATATATGACCAAACAAACATGCTCATTTAGTGTGTTAGTTGTTTCTCACCGATACGGAAGTCGATATAACCCTCTCCTCCACTCAGCACCAGCACGTTCTGAACACTCTGTGCTTCTGTGTCCGTCGGGGCTGAGGACCCCTGAGACTCTGACGGACTGTCTAACACGCTACCATTCAGGGTGGCCAACACATCGCCTGAAAACGACAGATGAGATGCATGCATGTCACTGTAAGAAAAAAATATTTGAATATATATATATATATATATACAGTGGGCACGGAAAGTATTCAGACCCCCTTAAATTTTTCACTCTTTGTTATATTGCACCGTACCCACTGTATATATTCTCAAATATTTAAAATTGACACTAACCTGGCACTGACACGAAGAATTTGACGGCATCTCTGTGTCCATGAAAACAGAGTTGAGCCTGTGCCATAGAGCAGTATGGTATGAAGCTACTCTTCTCAGAGTTACTGTCATCTGCATATACATGGATCACGCCCCCCGATGACGTGGGCGACACCTTATTGGCTGCAAGGGAACACAAGCCGCCAATCAGAAACCGTTTTAAGTGTGACAAATATGCAAACAATTAAAAAAACAGGAAGGGGGCAAAAACTTTTTCACACCACTGTATGTATGTATGTACCAAGAGCTGCTGAAAAACCACAACAAATTCCTTGTGTGTTTGCGCAAATAAAAGCTTATTCTAGTCTATATTTATATGACTCTTCATTCTACTCTATAAAATAACACTGAAAAGAACTAAACAAAATAATGATAGAAGGAGAGAGATAATTCATTCATGACCAAAACATGCAAAAAAAAACACTTAAAAAACAAGTTTATTAATCAATGAAACGTAAATGAAAGAAGACCATGGAGAACCCAAAATAAGTGTGATGGGACATGATAATAATGACAACTGTAACGCTCCACACTTACCCCTCAGTCCAAGGAGCTGCCCTCGATGAAGCACTACGGCTACAGGAAGGAGGAAGTGAGAAGGGGAACAAGGCAGGACAAGAGAGCAACACCCATGAAACAAAGTGAAAGAGGGTAGTGGAATAATAGAGAAAAAGGAACAGGAGAAAAGCTAGGAAGGAGACGACAAGAGGAGGCACAGGGTTTGTTGGGTAATTAATGGATTTAGGACGTTGACCTAGCGGTTAATGATCTGGGATGATGACATTAAAGTTTGCAGGTTAATCCCCGGGTGGTGGCAATGAACACAAGGATGGTGAGATTCAAGCCTCTTAACCAGCTTAACCGGCAAGACTTCCTTTGTCAGCCAGCTTCAGAATGAGCAAGAGCAAGATGGCTGACTACCAAAAGTATCAGTAACAAGCATAAACCAATGACAGAGAATTGTTTTGGCTGATCAGTGAAGGGAAAGGGAAATGGTTCAGATGATCAAGCACCTTGTTAACATTAAAGTATGTGTACATACAAACACCGCTTAGACGTACTTTCAGTCAGAGGGATTGAGATGACGACGCCATTTCCAGTCCCCACCCACAATCGGTTTCCTCCAATCAGCAGCGCAGTTATCCTGACAAAAGAGAAGCCCAACTTTCCTGTACCTGTCAATCACAGACAACATCGAACGTAAAACATTTATATTGCGACTTCTGATCTTCGATAAATATTAGGCAAAATTATTCCATCAATAAATAGAACAATGAACAATAAATTACTAATATGTTTACATTTTAAAAATCTTATTTTAATAGACTTAAAATAGTGTATATTTTCTGTTAAATTGCTAAATAAATAAGAATAAAAAAATAAATAAATTACTCAAATAAAACAAAATATAAAATAAAAGTACAATTTTGCAAGAGGAGGCAATTAAGTACACATACAATCTTACTTCTAAACGAATCTCTACACAGAGCTCTATAAATCAGAAGTGTTAAAGTAAGAGCAACAAAGTGAGAAGCGCTACCCAGCATCTTGCTGACGTAAGGCTCGATATCCACATCTTGCAGATGCTGATGTGTGAGAGCGTGGTACAAGCGGAGCGTAGAATCCAAGCGGATTGAAACCCAGACACCATCACCAATCCATGCCAGCTGCCTCACCTGGCTCTCCTTGCGTGGGTGAGCGTCAAATGATTTCTATATGAAGGAGAGAGAAACATAACATGAAGTCCCAAGACAAAGATTATAATGAGGACATCACATTCACTATCTGAGACTGGCCTCAATCTGCATGCTCTTGGGCTGGATCACATGGATCTTGTTCTTGTTGCCACACCAGACTTTGTCATGAACCACAGCCATGCATCGGATGGAGTGGTGGGGTCTTCCCAGATCCATTAGGTGATAGTTAGATAGATCCCATTGCCCATCTGTGTTTACATTTCACATTTGTTATTATAAAATGAATGAATGAAAAATATTTATACCTAAACAGTTTTGACAAATAACTCTTTTCCTTTTTCTCATAGGTTTAACATTAGGAAGATGAAGCAAACCTTCAGCTCTGTGGAAGATTGCAAGAGTTCCATCAGCTAATGCAACCAAAACTCTCCCCTTCACATGTCTGAACCACAAAGAGACAAAGTAGGAAATTATTGGTATTGAGTTTTCAGTCTTTTTATACAGTATATACACTACCATTCTAAAGTTTGCAGTCAGTAAGATTTTTTTTCCTGAAATATATTTTTATACTTCTATTGGGCAAGGATGCATTCAGTTGATCAAATGTGACAGTAAAGACTTTTACTAGTAAGAGACTTCTTTCAAAAACATTAAAAACCGACCCCAAACCTTTGAACAGTAGTGTACATACTTCATTAGGATTCTACTTACACCAAACTCAGTACAGAGTCTTTGAGTTTGATTGAATGGAGGCATTTCTTCCAGTTGGACACTGCAGAGTGGACATAAAGCCTGTGGACAGAGTTTACAGAGAGTATTTTACATGGTGCATAGAATATTTGAGATTAGGGGTGGGTGATTTGACCAATATATCACAATATGAGCACTTTTATTTCACAGTAACGGTTTATATCACGATATAGTTATTTTTGCTTTAAATAGGATCTTTATGATATCAAAATTTTTAATAGCATAAAAATGTCAGAATTCTTGTCACCAGTGTCAATATCACAAAAAGCTAAAACTAATATTAGCTTAAAAAAACTCAAAACTCAAGCTCACTGAAGACAAGTAAACAGTCAGTGATTAAATAAGAATAAGAAACTAATTACAAGCAATATGACAAAAAAGTTTTTTTAATAGCATAAAAATGTCAGAATTCTTGTCACCAGTGTCAATATCACAAAAAGCTCAAACTAATATTAGCTTAACTCAAAACTCAAGCTCACTGAAGACAAGTAAACAGTCAGTGATTAAATAAGAATAAGAAACTAATTACAAGCAATATGACAAAAAAGTACAGTAGAACAAATAAATAAGA